AAAAACTAGGGGAAAGATGGAGAGGGGCAACTAAAACTGAAGGGCATTTATAAAAGAGCCGCTGTACAACCAAGAAAATTTGACAAAAGTAATAACACCCACAGGTTACAAATTTAATATAAACATATAAAAAAACAACGAATATTAAATTTCGCAAGGACCTACTATTTCTATGCTCAAAACCACATACGTATATACACACATACACAACATATCGTTATTTACACGTACATACATACATATATGCGTGCACACATATAAATACACACACACACACACATATATATATATATAAATATATACCCCTCTCTAGAACTTTCTGTTACCCCTCACATTCGTGTTTAACCCTTTTTATTATATACATATATATATATATATATATATATATATATATATATATAGATGAGAGAGATTTTTATTTAGAGGATGGATGTAAACCAGTGCTGCCGTTGCCCTTAAAAATAACGTACAGTAGACGAGCAACGAAGGTACTACTTCTACCCAATGCCCCCTATACACAGATTTTTTTTTTATACATTAGATGTCGGAGTAAACACTTCGAAATTAAGTGTGTCAATATATTGCTATATATATATTTTAAATAATATTAATAAAATAAAGTAATATAAATAAAATAAAATAAAGTAATATAAAATAATTATTAGAATATTTTATAATTATTATAAATGTTGTTGTTTTTATGTGTATATATATGTATATATATATATATATATAAATTATAAAGTATAAGAGAAAATATATTATTATTATTATTGTTGTTGCTTAAAAAAAATAAAAATTGAGCGATAAAAATGGAACAAATTGACTAGCAGTAAAAACGAAACAAAATAACGTTATAACTGGGAACGCATTTACAATAAATTTGAAGTTACGTTACTTTGTAAGTAAAAAATAAGAAAATGTAAAGAATTAAAATTCATACTAAATGTTATAAAAGAAACTTTGAATATAACTAATAATTGATAAAAAAAGAAATCGGCGATAATGAGCAACTAGTCAAAAATAAACAAAATAAACGTTAAAAAATGCTTTCCACTAATTCCGAAAATTACGACCACTTTCGTAAAAACAACAACAGATGAATAAATGTTACGCTTAGATATAAATAAATTAAAATTATTCATGCCACTATATAAAATACATTAATTAAATACATTATAATTCTTAGCGAGAAATTTCACTAGCGAAACAACGTATTGTTTTAAAATAAAAGACAGAAAAAATAAAAAACAAAAAAGAAGAAAAATACACATACTGTACATGAATAACATAATTAGACTATCATAAAATAATGAACAATAAAAATATAAGAATATGTATGATTAAAAATTTACAAAATAAAAAACCCAAAACAATCGACACTTTCCTTAACATCACTTTCTTAGAGCCATGAAAAAAACGTCTGTTTACTCCGATATCAGCGTTCATCTCCATATATATATATTAATATGTATTTACTTGACCCCCCACTGAGTCAGGTTGTGACACAAAGTCAGTTTTTAACGTGGGGACCCGAATGTTTTCACTCGGGCTGCTGGTCCAAGTTGGTCTTAGCTGGTCATAGCTTGTCCAAGCTGGTCAGAGCTGGTCTAAGCTAGTCATAGCCGTGATACCATATTTGGGCAGCAACCTTTCTTTCAAACATCTTTCATTGAATATGGCCGACATGGAAGATTGAATTAACTTTTATTAAGTTTTTCAACTGAAAACTCAATAAAAAATTATTTCAATCTTCCTTGTCAATTTATTCAATAAAAGATATATATATATATATATATATATATATATATATATATATATATATATATATAAGCAAATATATGGATATAAATCCGACAGTATGAAAGAAAAATACAGAAAAACAAACAAAATCTGAATATGCAATTATGTAGTATACATAAATATAATACTACATAATTGCATATTCAGATTTTGTTAATTATGTTTAAATGAAAATGTCCATGATGGTGGTCTTAAATAGACCGAAACGTCCGACGTCGACTTTATTTTAACATTAATACTACATAATTGCATATTCAGATTTTGTTTGTTTTTTCTGTATTTTTCTTTTATATATATATATATATATATATATATATTAATCTATGTACCGCCAAAGGTTTTCTAAAAAAAACAGCATACCATAAAAAAAAGGACCCAAACTTGAAAAAAATTAACTTTTATAGTCAAAATGTTCATGTTATTATTAAGAGAAAAGATCAGATGATTTTTTATTATTTTAAAATTTTGGTTAAAAATCTTATTTTTCTTGCGTCAGCAGATGAAGCAGAAATTAGTATCGGGATTTTTAGCGTCTTTTTTGGCATCAAGAACACATTATTTTGGAAATTCTTGCAAAAATGAAATAATTGTCGGATTTTAATTAAATTTTCAGAACTTATCCACAACTGAATGAAATTATTTTTGAAATCTTTGTAAATTTTTATTTTACTTCTATTACCCCTATTTACTTAATTTTATGAAATTTCGCCAGCCTCTTCATATTTATATTAGTTAAAAGCAGGATTCATTGGAAAATTTAAATCATCATTTTCTTTATGCCAAAAAGAAACACTGTTTACCGAGAATCTGCTCTGAATCGCAAAATAAAAAAAAATGCAATAAACTATGACATTATTTAATTAGAAAAGCTTTTTATTGCTTTTAAAAATAAGATATACTAAGGATACTATTGTATTAAGAAAAAAAATCGATGAATAATAAATATTTACAAGAATTGTTTTCATTCATTTTAAATTTTAATTAGAAAACTTTATTATGTGTTACATCTTTTAAAATTCTGTATTAATTTCAACCATTTAGATGATATTATTATTACGTAAAAACTATATTTACTAATCATAAATGGAAAAGATTAATACAAATTATCAAACACCAATATTTTTAAAAGAATTTTGAATTTTTTTGTATATGTATTAATGTTCCGATTTTTGTAAGGGTGGGGGGTCATAGATGGCATTATCAGAAAATATGACCGTTAACTATAATAAATTTAAAGTCAACATTTCTAAAATTCAATAAAACATTAGATTACGGAGAATATTTTCTTAAATATTTAAAGATTACTGAGTACTTAAAAATTATAAAAAATGCCGCTCACGTCATTTCCTTCAATTATGTTAGATCTGTCTTCAAGCTGTAAATACGTCAAAACAGCTACTGTCAGTTTAAAAACGCAGCTACTGTTGTGTTAAACATGCATTCTTGTGATATTTTAAAGTAAATAATATTTGTTTCGAATCAGATTAATTATACTGTATATCAGTTACTATTCCTCAAATAAAGTTTCAGAAATATATATTTTTTATTATTTTTGGAAGAATCTTTAATAAAGACAATTACATTGCGATGAAAGAAAACTAAAAATGGATGCTAATCAGCTATTCTAGTAACAAAAAAAGAAAAAATCCTTCCAGTCAATTTATATTAGTTTTTAAAATACAAAGTATTTTGCTTACTGGAAATATTACATTTAATATACAAGTTTGAAATTAAAACTAAAATAAAACCTTCAAGAAAGATTTTTCATTTTTTAAATTAATTTTAAGCCTTAGGTATCGCGTTTTTTTTTTCGTGGTCCCTATATTAATGTCAGGTGATAATGCTACTAAAACACATGGTGTTACTGAGGGTGAACAGAAATGAGAATGATATTAGTGAGGAGAAATAACAGGAAAAGAGGAGAATTTAGGAAGACAGAAGATGGCGATTAATGAAGAAAGTCCCGCAGGCGTGAAGTGCGAGAATAGAAACTATTAGAATTGAACTTACGGTTGCATCTATTTCAAATGTAAACTGATGAGACATAGTTACCAATCTAGTAGTATGTTTGGACAAGGTACCAAGGCGGAAAACTGACCAAAACAATTATTATAAAAATATCTATAGAAAAGACAGAGAGAATCCACGTTTCGGAGTTTGGACTGTGACTGAAGAGGAGATCTCAGGTCAGGACTTATAACATTACAGATCCTTCTTTGGATTTTATCATGTATCCCGAGATATATAGCAGAAGCACCATACCAGGTGTAACAGCAATATTCAACGCACAGATGAATGGTAGACTTAGACATAGAAGATGTATCCCCACGAGAAAAATTGTCTACCACGATACAGTGAACAAATTTCTTAGTAGCAGACTTAACAATTGATTCAATATAATCATTCCACTTCATGTCAATCGAAAACCGAAGAAGCTTAATGAATGATATTTATGCGTGTGTGTCAGCCTGTAAGATTAGAAATATTTTAATGAAATTGCAAACATTATGGGGCAGCATATTAAAAGAAATATCTATCTATCTATCTATCTATCTATCTATCTATCTATCTATCTATGTTCTCCGTAAACTTTTTGCATTTGGGTTTCAGTATCGTAAGAAAAATATCATCCTCGTAAACCTGATAAGGAAAGAAAAAATAATTCAAAGTCACTTATCTGATAAGCTGTAAAAGAACAAGCAAACCCATCTTCATATTTAAAATTAAAAAAAAAAAAAAAAAACAAACACTCGAATCATAGTAATAAACACATAAATAACAAAATCTAAACTTAATTATTAAATGCACTGGACATGAAAGACGCGAAAAGAATTGTAGATTATTTGTTTAAAAGTATGATTAGTTTCCTTATAAATCTCTCTTAATAAATCTTTCTTTTTTTATTTTAATTATTTCAGTGTAAATTACTATCATTACTACTAATAACAATTAAAATGATAACTGGTGAAAAGTGATGTTGATCACTCTATTAATGGATAATAGATAATACTGGTATGAACTCATAAAAACTATCATCAAACAACTGAAGAGGTTTCGAAGACACTTGCTGTCACTTTGTCCCTAGTGAGCGTGACTAAATGTTAATATTGTAAAAACTGAACATATACAAAATAAATTCAGAAAAAATGTTTTAAACGGAGTAATTTTTTAGTGAAAACTTAACGATAATTACTTACTTGGATTAGCTGACTTGTAACAGACCTTAAACGATAAGAATGTTGGTTCTTTGCACTGTTTTTCTATCCTTTTTTGTATCTGCTGATTTTTGCTCTGAAAGTTTTTCACTTTTAATTTTTTTTTTTTTTTTTAAAGTTGCAGCTTGAGTCTCATCCCAAACCAATCACGTTTCGATTGAGGACAAGCGAAACATTTGTCACTGAAATATCACACCACTTATGTAGCTTCTCTTGCGTGCCGACCAGCCTCGTTCTTTTTTTATGCATAGGTTTTTCTCTATGTATCTATGTATGTATGTATGTTTGTATCTATCTATACTAAATGCTGAGAGTTTAGTAATTCTTGGTGATTTGAATGCACGGATCGGTTCAGACACTGAAACCTAGTCTCCTCTAGGTCATTATGGTGTGTTGGTAGAATCAGTTCGAACAATCTATTGCTTCTTCAGCTCTGTTCTGAATTGAATCACCAACACATTCTCTCACCAGAAGAACATGGCAACTTGGTTCTATCCTCAGTCTTATCATGGTCATATACTTCATTACATAATCTGTAGACGTGGTGTATCTAACAAACTTGCAAAAGTCAGAGTGATGCTTGGTGCCAACTGTAACACTGCTCACTTGATAGTCAGGGCTAAGCTCAAAATTTCTATTCGCCGGAACAGGCGTTTCAATGGAGTCAAGATTTTTAAGCGGATTGATTTCTCCAAGTAGAAAGATCCAGTCGACAGAAACACCCTCAAATCGGTCTATGATCAGGTGGATTTCTCAGATTGTAATTGGGAGAGAGCAAGAGATATTATGTATGAAAAAGGTGTTGAGATTCTTGGATTGAGAGTTCCCAGGCATCGAGATTGGTTTTCTGACAACTCCAGTGAAATCAACCTTCTCATTGACAAAAAGAGGAAGGCTCATTTGAAACTCCTCAACCCTTCATCTACCAATAGATCAGCTTTTGTTGCTCACTTCTTCTTTGTGAAAAGTAAGGTTCAGTGCTGTGTGCGCCAAATCAAAAACAAATGGCGGTCTGATCTATCGAAGGGGATACAGACAGCTTATGACAAGAAAGACATGAAGAAGTTTTATGGTCTGCTTCGTCAGGCATATGGTCTAAAATCTTCCTCAACTAAACCACTCCTGGCAAAGGACAGAACCACCTTATTGAAGACTTCAGATGAAATTATGAGACGTTGGTATGAACATTTTTGAGATCTCTTTCCTTTTAATATGGATGTTGCTGCAATAGATAGTGTCCCTCAGTCTGTCTTTCAGTCTGAACTTGACATGGAACCAATTTTTGCATAAAACAGATCAACTCAAACAAAGCTCCTGGACTAGATGGTATTCCTATTGAGCTACTGAAACACGATGGTATGAATGTCCATTGTGTGGTCCACTCTTTAATGATATCTGTATGGAGGGGTGGCCCAGTTGCTCAAGACTGAATAGATGCCATTCTGATTATGCTGTACAAAGGAAAAGGGAAGAAGTAAGACGATGGGAATTACTGTGGCATTTCACTGCTGGAAATAGTTGATAAAACATACACATACCTCGTGTAGTATCTTCTTTAAAGTCAATGAATATCCATAATTGATATACGGCCTTTGACATCTAATTCAAATTCTCTTCTGTCAATAGTGTTCTAATATTTTTTCATTACACCTATTGCGAGAGTAGACAAAATTTTTGTCCCACTACCTTCTGCTCCTGCATACTTATAGTTGATACTATTGTATAGAAGTTTGAATTTGATTGCACCAGTTTTGTTGTGGCTGTTACTGTTTAAACATGGCTGCTGCGATAGTAGTGTGCAACAAAGAGTAATGATCAGAATCGGCAAAGAACATGCTACCTCATCGATGATAACTCGCCGATTCGAGCTTGCTGAATTTTCTCATCAGTCATAGAAACTTATGGTCGCCTTGCTCCTTCTTCGTGCATGATGCTTGACAAGCCGCTTTTAAACTTCTCGATCCACTACTCGATGCGGTAGTGCACTGAGACCGTATTGTGTTAATAGCTTACAATGAATTTCATTTCTTTGTTCTTCCTTGGTGCACACTGCTGGCAGAGTGGTTATGTTTACACTGTAATAGCGGCAAGAAAACTGACGCGATCAAGCTAAAACTATGATCACGTGACCACAATAATACCAACTTTAAGCACGCATGAAAAGAGAGCAGTAAAGATATGTTACGGCGAAAGTGTGGATAATATTTTACTCATCCTCATCTTTACAATTCAAGAGGGGAGCAGGAATAAAACACAACAATTTATATTTACAGTTTTTTTTAAATATCCCTCATGATTTGAAATGAATACAAAAATATTTACAGCAAATAATTTACAAAAAATGTGTTATTATGTTATCCAGTTCGACAACAGTTAACAACCCCGTGAATGGTTAATATTGAATAATTAAAAAAAAAAAAAACTTATTTAAGAAGTGGATCCATTATTGCTTTTAAGGGAATTTGTAGGTTAAACTTAAGAAAGTAGATAATAATAAAAATAATGAATCCAACAGATTTTCTTCTTGCACTTTCCGTATGGAATTTTCTTCTCTTTACTTGCTTCGCTGAAGACTAACATCTTCAAAAATTTAAATGCAACGTTAATCACCATCTTCTATCTTTTTGAATACCATTTATCTTTTTATCCTTTTCTTAATCCCTCTTATACCCTGGCTTTTCTCTTACTTTCACTTCTTGTAACCCCCTGCGTAGTGGTGGAATTTCCACTTGGCTTGTGGTGAAATGAAAAAAAAAAAAGAATGTATGAAAGAAAAACTCATTATATTGAATCTTATCTATAATATCGAGTAAAAATAGAAGATGCTTCAGATTTACTGTGACTATACACAAGCCGCCAGTTTTAAACTTCTCGGTTCACTCATGTACACTTCTATTAAAAAATATCCTTCATTATTTGGAATGAATACAAAAATATTTATAACAAATAATTTACAAAAAAAAGTGTTATGTGACCCTCTCAACGACTGATTGTAAAAGTAAAGGAGAGTAATCGGGCGAATGAAAATGGGTAGACGTAAAAGAAATAAAAATGAAAAAAAAAAGAGAAATATTTCGTTACTACGAGATGACTTAAGTCTTCGAAGAAGAGATTGGGAAAAAGGGGAAATGTTAAATTTCGTGTCGCTATTGGCTTCGGTTCTGCCAACCCCAACGCCACTTCATCAGATTTTATCAACGAAGAACTATTTATCTTTCGCTACATTATACGAGAGAGACAGACGCGTAGCATCGATTCTGGGTGGTAGCGGGAGAAAAATAGGTGAACGCATGCATTCTCCATAGCTGCGGATTTTGCCACGTGCGTCCTAGCCTCTCTAAATTTGCGACTAATTGCTCACTTCGAGCTGTTTTGGCCTTATATCCAGACAATCCATCACTAGTCATAATTCCAGGAACACGGCCTCTTTTGACTAGGGGTTTGCCATTCTGGGCTAGCCTATGCATTCAGTGGCAAAAAAAAAAAAAAAACTGAAACGAGAGGAACGAAAAAAAAAAAAAAAGAAACGAAAAGATCCTCGATGTCAGCTAAAGATGGCGAATTATTCAATGAGGAAATAGAGGCATCTGATGTCAATTCACAATTTGTCGTCTTTTTCTGGGTCTTTTCATCCAATCCATTTTTCCATTTTAATTTTCGTCATTTCTTTTATTTTCTTTGCCTTGTCTTTCACTTTTTTTTTTATTTTAGTTGCTTTTTCAGACGTTTTTATCTGGGGGACGTAGAAAAGAACTTGGACGTATTCACCAATTTCCTTTCAGTTCATTTTGGATAAGGCAAGAAACAAGAAATAACAACATAAAGAGTCCTACCTTACCGCACAACGCGACAGATTATTCCGCCACGAATGATGATTTTATCATTATAAGGAATCTCATATTTATAACGAATAAAATTAATTTCTCGTTTGATAGTTAAATTCTATAATTTTTAAGTCGTCTCTTCTCAATTTGGAGTTGACATTTAATTGACAATTTAAACAGAGATAATTGACAAATAAAAATTATATTATTGCAAAAACCATTCTCTATATTTTGAATATATAATAGAAGTTTTCGCAAGAAATACAAAAACTTTATCATGCAAATGTTTTAGGTAATTAAATACATTTTACGTAAATAAGAATTTAAATGACATTTAATCTTTTAGAGACAAATCAAATTTATAATTATTTAGTTTAAAATTTTATTGCCCTAAAGCATTTTTCATTTGAAAACCGCCAAAAATTGATGGTCTTTGTGAAGTGGATCAATACCAGTTAGATATTACTTCTGCATTAGAAATATCCCATTGTAGCATACAGCAAATTTATCAACCGGATTCTGAAAGACAGATTTTTTTTCAGATTAATCAAAATTGGGATGTAAACGCAATTTATTTCAACGAGACGAAAGAAAGGTATTCGCTAAATAGGAGAAACACCATCAAGAACGAACAGTAAAATTGAAAATGAATTTAATTTGAAATATTCTGCTTTGCACATCGCAATAAATATCTACGACAATATAAGTTATGTTCTCGAATCTGAGCTAAATTTTTTATAATATGTGATAGATTTCATAAAGCAGCAGTTTTTTTTAGCGAGGAAGTGTTTTAGAACACCTAAATATAATTTAGTAAAATGAGTACATGTATTAGTGTAAGAAGATACGCTATGATCACAGGTGCTCGAATTTTTTAAAATAATACGCTGCAGTATTAATTACTAAAATTCTAGAAGGAAATGCAATATTGGCAGAATATGGTTACAACGACAGGAAGAAAAGTCGTTCAGAGTAATGTGAATACGTTGAAAAACTTACATTTCAGATAAATGCGACATGCTTGAAATACTCAGAACAAAACATTTTGCACTGGAGTTGTTTTGTTTAAAAAAGGTACAATATTTTATTCGGCTATTCCGTCTTTTGTTTCACCTACAACGCGCGGTTACGTTTTGATTACAGTATCAGATTAGTTTATCATTTATTCCTTTTAAATATTTCATTATTTTTATTATTATCTACTCTCTTAAGTTTAACCTAAAAATAAACCTTAAAAGCAAGAATGGACCCCTTTCTTAATTCAAGGTCTGCATTCATCTGATGTACCAAATCAGGTTTTTGTAGAATTATTCAATAGTAACCATTCACTGGAATGTTAACTGCGGTCGAAAAATAGATTAAAATGTTCTTACCAAGATTCGATCTCTTAATTTTCTTGGGCTACATTATTCGATCCTGAAGAAGTTCATTACGATTTCATTTTATCTTCTAATGTCTAAGCTTTGAGCTAGACAGTTAATTGCCATAAAAGTTCATTATACTTAGATGATGATAAACTATCATTCGTCTAATTAAGGTCAGAGTAGCTTTTTTGTTCTTTCATCGTTTTCCTGACTCAGTAGCAAAGCTAAACTTGTCACTGCTCTTGAAAAGTAGCTCCAGTCAGTGGTTAACTGAGGCAGGAAATGGCTTGTAAATTTTGATGCCTCCAAAACAAAACTGCTCTCATTGAACCACAAGGGAGAAAGTTTCCTGTCTGCGATCAGCATGTCTAATGCTAGTTCCCGGTGAACGTCTCACTGAGCCTTATGGACTCACCTTTAAAATGACTTGAAGAGGAACGCCTACATCGATTCAATAGCTGCATCTATTGCAAGGAAATTTGGGTCACTGTTTCATGATTTTACTCGTCAGAGTCCTTCATGCACATTTACAAAGCTTGGGGTAAAATTTTAAAAATAGAATGTATTAAAGAAAAATAATTATACTGAATGTTATCAATCATGTCGAGTAAGGTTTGCTTCAGTTTTTCAGTGCCTATATACAAAACACCACTTTTAAACTTCTCAATCCACTCATGCACACTTCTACGCGGTTATGCACTGTTATGACAGATAGAGTGTCGGCAAAATTAAAATAATTGTTAATTATTAAAGTGTAATGAGTTGATTAGGGTTCGAGTGGTAGTAAAATTGAGGCTATGGGTTACTTGATGAGATTGGCTGACTAACTGGAAATATTGATAAAGTAGCTAGCTTAAGGATGAAGTTGAAAAGGGGTTCTTCCTCTTATTTATTTCCGTTTTTTCTTCTTTTTTTTGTGAACGTAAACAATGAAGGGTTATACATTTTGGCGAACAATAGTTCCGGATGAGTAACTGACCATTGTTGGAGACGCGTCCTGGCGAAAAGGCTACCCGGAAATATGTGTTGGAATTTACTGCCAAAATCTGCAGCAATACCACCAGGTTGGAATTGACCAAAGGGTCGGGGAGTCAAAGGGTGGTAAATAAGGACAAATCTCGTATGGCGATTGGCTGTCTCGAAGCTACCCGGGCGACCAGGATAGAGTTGCCCAGGGGTAAGTGGAATTAAACGTGGCTGATAACAACAATTTTCGGGTGGTGAGTGGCTGTCCCGTTCGGGCCCGCCAATGGGGGTGTAAGTGTGAGTGTCCACTGGAAACGAGGAAGCGAGAGAGGAATTTAGTAGGAAGATACAAGTTACGGTGGTAGGAGGGCTGCCGGTGATTGACCGTAGAAATTATGTGTGGGGACCCTCGAAATAACACCCCCATCTCGGATATAAGCAGGGGTTTGGGCCGCGAATAAAAGATTGGTTAGAAGATTGGTTACGATATTGGTTAGGATAATGGTTAAGAGTTGGATGGAGAGTCGCAGAGAGAGTCGAGCAGATTGGTTAGGAGATTGGTTAATAGATCATAGGTGAGTCGCAGAGGTCGTGGTAGTGTGGTTAGAAGAATCGCAAAGAGTATCGTAGAGTAGCAGCGAGTGACGAGTATGGCCGCGAACAGCAGAATTGCGGAAAGTAGAATGAATTGCCTGAAAGTTCCTGAGACGAGATCGTAGTAATGGTTATTAGCAGAGTGTGATATGAACCAAGTGGAAGGCTCTGTTGTATATACGAGGGCGGATGCAATATTAGCGAAAGAAATTGGAAATACCAAGACAGATAACCTGATACGCCGCTGATTCTCTCTCTCTCTCTTTCTCTCTCTCTCTCTCTCTCTCCTTAATTTTAATTCTTCCTGTATATAAAGACTTGAACTCTACTGAAGTGACCGTAGGACAGGTTTTTAAGTTTATCGGGGTACCATACCGAGAGAACACGGGGCTAACTTGGGACGAGCTAAACGGAGCCCTTTTCCGTCATTACGCGCGTGAGCAATAGAAACAATATTCGAAAGTTCTTTGGCTGTGGCAAGAGGAAAGAGAGAGTTTAGACGAATTGGGAGATAGAGTGGCTAGGTTGGCAGCTGTGGATCGATATAAGTACCCAGAGCAGTGAGCTTATACAGGCTTTGTTGGTCGATGTGCTAGTAGACGCCCTCTGGGAACGAGAGATTAGGAGCGACGTCCTGAAAGGCGGGGGGTGGGGGAAGCTCCGTGAACGATGCCCTGGACATGACTAAGAACAGCGAAAGGCTGTGGGAAAGAATAAGGAAGAACGAAGAGAAAAGATCCCAGGTCCCCAAGGAGGAGGAAGGAGAGAGTACCCCTTCGTGAAACAACGAGGCATGGGTTCTTTAAGTCCATGCCCGGGCGATATGGATTAATCTGCTGGACCTGCGGATATGAGAGTCACATAGTGATAGATTGTCTGACGGAGTGGCGATTGCCTTCAGACTTCGAAAAAGATAAGTGTACTAGGTGCGAAAAGAAGGGATACCTCGCTAAGTGGTGCGGGATCAAGAAGGGTGCCCCACCAATATTATTGAAGAAGGCGGAGTCTGGAAAACAAGATCAGGTAAAAGCCAGAGGGCCGCCCCAAAACTAACAGGTAGGGTGGCTCCAATGGTAGTAAGACCCCTGAAGTGTTAGACATGTGGAATGAATGGCCATTTCTCCGCCAATTGGGGCCCGGCAGAAGTGTTGGCCTTGTGGAGGTTTGAGACATATCCAGCGGAATTGCCCTCGCGGAAAGGAAGCAGATGGTACAGAAGAGGACTGAGAAAAAATAGGCGCCCTGTCTATACCCCACTCTACAGGGACAAAAAAGGAGCCATGGCCGTAAAGAATAAGGAGTAAGGAACCCCGGCTTCCAGCGCCTAGGTCCAGAGTAACACCGGGGGACAAATAATAGGAAGGAAATGGGAGATGGAAAGAAAGCTCAGGTATTCCAACTTTTGAAGGAAGGGCCTGATTTCACGTGCAAGGTGTTAAGACAGATAGGGTTTAAGGGAAAGTTGAGTCCAGTAGATTTATTGATTAGACAGGCGGGCAGTAGCAAAATGAACATAGAATGTATGACATGGCTACCCTTTCTGTTGGCAACAGCCACAGGTAGGCTGAAGTTTTACATAGCACCCGAGTTGTGTGGTGAACTGATTTTGGAAGGTGATTAGCGCAAAGAAAATAGGGCCCAAATCAGTTTCGACCCAGCAACATTGATAATAGATGGGGTAGGAGTGCTTCTAAGTGATGGAACTGAGGGGAAGCTACTAGCAGTAGCCAAGAGTGATGTAGTGCTACCTCCTAGAACCGCTATGTCCTGTCAGGGTAGGATAGAGGTTGATGGAGATTTGGAGAGGGGATTGTATTGCATAACCACTGGTGGAGTGATGGAAGATAGTTCAAAAGAGATTACTTTGTGAGATTGAGTAGTAGTAAGGATGGTACACCCTACTGTTAGCCAGCACCGCCAGCAGAACTATAAAAATAAGACAAGGAGATCAGTTAGGCAATGCATGCTCCGTGAGAATTATGAAACAGATAAGAGTAATGGATGAGTGTAAAAGACGGAGTAAAAGTGATGGAAGCAGAATAAACTACGATGATACAGCAGTGCCTAACAGAAACAGGATGAGCACGTTACTCAGAGCTAATGGAGATGTAGTCGCTAATACAGACAAAGAATTGGAACAGACAATGACTGTAGAGATGAAAATAGTCCTCCGTGACCATCCACCTATCAGGCTGAGACCATATAGGACACCAATTCATAAGAGAATGTTAGTAAAGGAAGCGGTAAAAGAGATGTTGAAATCTGGAATAAAAGAACTCTTCAGGTCTCTCTGGAGTTTTCCCATAGTAGTGGTTGAAAAGAAGGATGGTGGGCATCGGTTTTGCGTAGATTTTCGACAATTAAATGTTGTTACTAAAGATTTAGCAGTATCCATCCCTTTGAGCGACGATATTCTGTCTCTGTTCGGAAAGGCAACCTGCTTCTCTACCTTAGATGTTAGGTCGGGGGATTGGTTGGTGGCTCTTGATAAGAAAGACCAGGAAAAGACAGCTTTTGCCTGTTATGTTGGCCTTTTAAATTTCCGGATAATGACGTTTGGGTTGCCGAACGCCCCTAGGGTATTCACCCAGCCGATGTCTATAGTGTTGAGTTGTATCGAAGATTTTGCTATGGCTTAACTGGATGATATTATGGTCTTCTCTAAAATACCCGAAGAGCATTTTACACACTTGCAGAGAGTGTTCGACCGGCTAAGGGGACACGGACTGAAACTAAAATATACCCAAGTGACAGTTCATGAAGGATGAGACCAAATATCTAGGGTTTATTTTAGATAAAGAAAGTATAAAATCTGACTTAGATAAGGGTCATGCCTGAACCCAAGACTGTGAGGGAATATTTACCGGCGCTTTATACCTGCCTTTAGCAGGTTGGCAGGTCGCTTGATAGCACTAACAAAGTAACATGCTAGGTTTAAGTGGACGGAGGATTGTCAGAGGAACTTTGACGCTCTCAAGGACCAACTGACTGCAATGCCCTTGTTGACTTACCCGAACTTGAGTAAACCCATGATCTTGTATACAGATGCCAGTGACAAGTGTATTGGTGTTGTCCTTACCCAGCCTTGTTCTGAAAAATATAGACCAGTGGCGGGTATACCTGAAGAAATATCAGTATACGTCTTTTCACATAGATTGTATGAAACCCAACAGAGATGGCCTGTGATAGAGAAGGAAGACTTTGCTATTCTATACGTAGTGCAGAAGTTATATTATTTGAGTGGGTCTGTGTTTACTATTAAGATGCATCATAAGCCCCCTAAGCATTTATTAGAGGCTGAGTGGACTAATATGAAAATGCCACAGTGGACATTGAAGCTTAGCGGTTTACCATTGTAATAGAGAGTATCTAGCAGGGAAGGATAATATCTGCGCAGACCTACTGTAGCGAATCCAAGAACAGTTAAAATCCGAGTCCATTAAGTTAGAGCCGGGTGTTGATAAGGTTTACCAAGTTAACGTGGTAAACTCACACACCCGGGGGGAAGAGGCGTCCCGTCTGGGAGGATGAAGAGGAAGGTTCAAGCAAAATAGTTGCTGACCCTCACTGGGATATGTTATGAAAAAGAGTCAGAAAGATACTGAAATATCTACCCTTAGGGCCAAGGCAGAGTCAGGAAATACAGCGAAGTACGTAATATACCATGGACTGTTGCATTACCTTTCGGGGGAGAGGTGAGGAAGTAATCCTTAAACTGGTTGTGCCTAAGATGTTAAGAGACGAAATCCTAGAGCAGTGTCATGAGAAAACGGGTCATATGGAAATCGATAAGACGTACGACCTGATAGTTAGAAATTATTATTAGCATAGATTTTATAAGGACGTAATGAGCCATGCGGGTATATGCATAACATGCCAATCTCAGAGTAGAGGAAATAGGGCTGCCCCGGTAATGGAGATAGATATTCCAGAAGGTGATCATGGATATTTCAGGGCTCTATGGAGATACATCACAAGTGAATTTATACATAGTGAGTTCCGTAAATTGGTTAATGAATTGGTCAGAGGCCTACGCTATACCGGATAAGAGGGCCCAGACCATGTCGGATATAATACCCCGGGAAATATTCCCTTAGTTATGGAGCCCCTGAACAACCGGTAACGACAATGGGCCTGAAATCAGGTTATGAGAGAGATCCTGAGTTGAATTGAATATTAAACATTACCACTTCACTATACCACACTCACAGTAATGCTAGGGTGGAGAGATTTCACAAAACCTTAGCAGATGCACCAGCAAAACTAGCGGCAAGTGATAAGGGGAACTGGGATACGTAATTGATCCAAGTCCTAGCAGCAGTGCGATTCTCATTAAATGAGACTACCAAGTTCTCCCCTTATTAAATGGTACTTTGCAGGGATGTGGTCCTACCAATAGACAATTTTTTGAAGCCTAGGAGAAAGTATATGGAAGAAGATCACCATAGGATAATCCTAGAGCAGTAGCATAAGATATTCACATAGGCAAGGAAGAGAATTAATATGGCGCAGAAGAGACGAAATGGGAGAATAAACAGGAATTGGAGGAATATTAATTTCTAGATGGGTGACCCCGTTGTATTATAAGGTACACTTGAGAGAGGGTAAGCTGGATCGAAGGTAAGTCTCCCTTTATAGAATAGTGGAAAAAACCGGAACTGTCTCTTATATTATTTGGGTTCAATTGGCCGGGAGAGTGAAGCGAATACATGTCAACGACATGAAACTGGCCGACAAAGATGATTGGGAGGAAAGTGAATCAAGAGGCCAAGGAAGGCGGCTGAGGAAAACCACTTTGGTTGAACATGAGGGTTAGAAACCGAAAGTGAGGATGAAGATCAGGCGGACCTAAGTTTAACCCTTTGAGTTACGGGCAATTAGGAGAAACGATTAGACCCAAGGCTAAATAATTTACGAAAAATGTGTTATGTGACCCTCTCAACGACTGATTGTAAAAGTAAAGGAGAGTAATCGGGCGAATGAAAATGGGTAGATGTAAAAGAAATAAAAATGAAAAAAAAAAGAGAAATATTTCGTTACTCCTAGATGACTTAAGTCTTCGAAGAAGAGATTGGGAAAAAGGGGAAATGTTAGAACTATTATAACGAAGAACTATTTATCTTTCGCTACATTATACGAGAGAGACAGACGCGTAGCATCGATTCTGGGTGGTAGCGGGAGAAAAATAGGTGAACGCATGCATTCTCCATAGCTGCGGATTTTGCCACGTGCGTCTTAGCCTCTCTAAATTTGCGACTAATTGCTCACTTCGAGCTGTTTTGGCCTTATATCCAGACAATCCATCACTAGTCATAATTCCAGGCACACGGCCTCTTTTGACTAGGGGTTTGCCATTCTGGGCTAGCCTATGCATTCAGTGGCAAAAAAAAAAAACCGAAACGAGAGGAACGAAAAAAAAAAAAGAAACGAAAAGATCCTCGATGTCAGCTAAAGATGGCGAATTATTCAATGAGGAAATAGAGGCATCTGATGTCAATTCACAATTTGTCGTCTTTTTCTGGGTCTTTTCATCCAATCCATTTTTCCATTTTAATTTTCGTCATTTTTTTTATTTTTCTTTGCCTTGTCTTTCACTTTTTTTTTTTTACTTGCTTTTTTCAGACGTTTTTATCTGGGGACGTAGAAAAGAACTTGGACGTATTCACCAATTTCCTTTCAGTTCATTTTGGATAAAGCAAGAAACAAGAAATAACAACATAAAGAGTCTTACCTTTCAAAGTAGTTTACAGAGTAGATTAATCGTATTAATTCAGGTAGGTAGTCTTTGTCGTAAGTGAAAAAAAGTATCTTTCTTTTTTATTTGTACAAAATCAAGTCAAACGATTATTACACTCTAACATAGAATAGAAACGCAAAAATAGAAAAGGACGCACAACGCGACAGATTATTCCGCCACGAATGATGATTTTATCATTATAAGGAATCTCATATTTATAACGAATAAAATTAATTTCTCGTTTGATAGTTAAATTTTATAATTTTTAAGTCGTCTCTTCTCAATTTGGAGTTGACATTTAATTGACAATTTAAACGGAGATAATTGACAAATAAAAATTATATTATTGCAAAAACCATTCTCTATATTTTGAATATATAATAGAAGTTTTCGCAAGAAATACAAAAACTTTATCATGCAAATGTTTTAGGTAATTAAATACATTTTACGTAAATAAGAATTTAAATGACATTTAATCTTTTAGAGACAAATCAAATTTATAATTATTTAGTTTGAAAACCGCCAAAAATTGATGCGCGTTGTGAAGTGGATCAATACCAGTTAGATATTACTTCTGCATTAGAAATATCCCATTGTAGCATACAGCAAATTTATCAACCGGATTCTGAAAGACAGATTTTTTTTCAGATTAATCAAAATTGGGATGTAAACGCAATT